CCTCCCTCCCCTCCCGGCGCGGAGCCCGCCTGGCGCCCCGCGCGTAGTCCCGGCCGGCCCAGCAGCCCCACCTTCTCGGGACCGAGCGCCAAGGCGCCGCCGGGAGGGCCGGGCTGTCGCGAGTTTGATTCCCGGTCCTGCTGCCGCGGTTCCCGGGAGCCCGCGCCGCCCCAGCAGCGTGCGGCAGGTCCCGGCCCTCCCTTTCTTCCCGAGCCTGCACCACATTCCAGGCCCCGGCTCGAGGGGCGTGCGGGTATCTGGGGGGCTGGTCGCGGGGCCGCGGGATTAGAGGGTGGTCGCAGGCGAGCGGCACCAAGCAGGGAAGCAAGGCCTGCTGGAGCTGTGCCGCCTCGAGCCCCTTCTCCGGCCGCTCCCCGTTTTGTGTGGGCGCCCCTCCACGTTTTGCCCAGGCCGGGGGGCGCTGGCTGGGCGGCGACGGGCAGGCGGGGGTGCCTGCTGGGAGCAGAGCTCCTTTTAGGGGGAGGGGAGGTTCGCTTCCTGCCCCCGCAGATGTCATAGGTCGGCGCAGCCTCTTGTAGTCCCACCCCGTCCCCTGGGAGCTGCATCTCCCGGCAGCTCGACTGGAAAAGTTCAGCACGCTCTGCCCCCGCCCCTGCTCCCCCGCCCCTCCGGCTCTATGTGCCCCGGGCGCTAAACTCCAGGGGCTTGGTGTGTGTCTTTATTCATTCTTTCCTCTTCGTTTTCTCCTTTGCATTGTTGCCTTACACCTAGCACTGGCCTCCCCATTTCAGTTCCCCTTAAAAGAAAAAAAAAAAAAAAAAAGTTTTAGCTCCAGACAACTTACACTGAAATTAAAAGAGCTGGAAAAGGATTTGTGTTAGGGAGAGGGGGGTTTTAGATTATCCTCTTTAAAAAAAAAAAAAAAATTTTGGTGAGAGTGGAGGGTGGGAGGGGTAACCGGGAGTTTAAGAATAAGAGATCCTAGAGGTGAGACAAAATACAGAAGACTATCCATCTCACCCCTCACCTCACCCTGAGAGGCAGGAGCATCATGGAGCAAGAGGCATGAGCCTTCAGGCTGGCCATCTTGCAACCTTGGCCACCTGGCCCAGGAGAAAGGACTCAGGGAGATGTTCTGGGCTTCTCATTCCTTTCCTTTGCCAGGCACGATCCTCTCTGGTACAGCCAGGGGCTGTTAGCCAGGTGTGCCCGAAAGAGGTGAAGGACACCTGGAGTTGTTTTATGGAAGTTTAGCCTGTGTGGATTGAGTATAAAATTTGACCCTCTCTGTTCTTGGGAGTGGATGCAGTTGGCATCTTGACTTCAGTGGAGTGTGGCATCTCCCGGATAAAGAGATTTTGCCAGGAGAAGCCTGGCTTATGCCCCCAGGAAGCTGGAGGGTATGTGCGGGACACTTGGGTTTGTCCTCCACTCTCTGCAGCTTGGAAGGATCAGGAGACAAGGGAACAGGAGTGGTGCTGAAGACCTGGGTACATCGTGAATAGGAGGGAGGCCCTGGATGGCTAGGATGGCCCAGGGTTGGTGATGGGACTGAGGGAGGACTTGGGGCCCCAGGTTGGGGTCATGGGCCACTTTGAGAATCTGGTCAGATTGGTAACTCCTCCTTCTCTTGGAAACATGAACATGTGCAGGGATACATTTTGTATTCAGTATCAAGGGTGAATATACCCCTTTGGAACTGGGACCCCCATTAAGTTTGTGGTTCAGAACAGTTCTCTCTGTGACAGGTAAGGGACTAATTCCAGTATGTCAAGAGCAGACCTCTTGGAGAGGTCTTTTCTCATGCCTTCTGTGCAGCCTTGGGCTTGTGGCCACAGGGACCTGGAATCTCTGGACCAGAATCCCAGCTCCCTACAGCTTGCGAGGGGATGGTGGGCAGATGGGTTGGCCCTTCTCCAGGGGCACATTTCTCTAATATGGTGGAAGGCTCTGGGCACTGTGCAGGGCTGTTGAATTAGAGGTAAATAAGGGGATTAAGGTAGGCATGGATTTTCTGGTATTTCACTGGGTGGTGTGAGAGCTAAGCCCTTTGAGAGTCCCAGCTCACTCTTAGGGAAATGGGGTTGAGGTGGGAGGAGGTGCTTTAGTGGAGAAATGTGTTAAAGAAGTGCCTTCTCTTGACGAGGCCTTGGGGCAGAATTGTCAGTGACTGGGGTCTGGGTATTGTAGGTTCTTTCGACCCCTTTGGGCTTTAAAAGGCAACTGGTGGCCAGAGGGGATGGCTGTTCCAATCCCCAGTGCAGCCCCAGGAGGCCTGGCCTGCCTTTTCTTTCTTACCCATAGCTCACTGGGCCCTAAGCTACTGCTCAGGTGTTATGGCATCTACACTTGCTGGGGATCTAGAAGAACCTTTACTGGGGACTGTCATTTGTGACTTCTGTGTCTTGGTACTGAGAGGCCCTCTTTAGGCTCAAGTCCTCCCAAAAAACTGTGGCTTATGGGGATTTTTCTTTTTAACTAGCAAGCACAGTGTTTGGCATATGGTAGCACTCACGTGTTTCTTCCTTCAGCATTTCCTTCATTTACTCTGCCTTAATGGATGCAATAAGCAACATTGGCAGGAGTATAGGAGTATTCTCGGGCCTTGGGGGCAGGAAGCTGGAGATGGACAGGGGTCATATCTTCCTCTGACTATACAGGGTGACCTGGAGGAGGTGATGCCTCCGTGTCGCTGGCTCTTTAAAAGTTATCGGAACAGCCATAAAGGGCTTGGAGATGCTGTGGGCCAGTGGCATGCAAGGGCTCTGTGGCAGTGACTAAGGATTCACCTTCCTCAGTGGCCAGAACTTACCTGTCTCCTGCGGCCCTGCCTGCCACAGGTTGGTGAGTTCAGGATGCTAGTCGTGTCAGCTCAGTGAGTGCTTCTCTCGTCCTCTCTGCTTCCAGCCTGCCAGTAAGTGTACCTCTGATAATGTCAGAGCAATATAATGAACTCCTGAAAGTGCATCTGTTGTTCTTATCTTTAAAACATATCATAAATAATAAATACGATAACTGCTTGTAAACATAAACTCTCTTCTTATAAAATGTGACCATTTTGTTTCCATTATGGCAGCATCAAGGGATTTTGAGGAAGGATTGGTGGAATAGAAAGTTTCAATCCCAATGGTCTAACCACGCCCGCAGGAGGCAACCCAATCATTTTGTGCTCATTTCTATCATAGCTTAGAGGTTAAGCGTGTGGGAGCTGAAGTTAGGCATGCCCAGTTAGAACCCCAGATCTCTGCCTTACTGTGATTTTGTAAGTCATCTAATCTTTCGGTGTCTCAGGTTCTCACCTTTAGAAAGGGTTAAAGAAGATAGTGCAAGTGTGTCAGAAATAAACTTTCCCTGCATTAAACAACAACAACGACAACAAAAAAAAAACCAGTTGCTGTCAACTCAGAATTGACTCACGGTGTGTATCAGAGTAGAATGGTCCTCTGTAGAGTTTTCAGTGGCTGATTTTTTAGAGAAAGTAGATAGCCAGACCTTTCATCCAGGGCATCTCTGGGTTGACTCAAACCTCCAGCCTTTTGGTTAGCAGCAGAGGGTGTTAACCGTTTACGCTACCAGGGACTCCCTTTTCTGCATAGAGACTATCATTATCATCATCATCAATATTATTATTTCTCCACAAGAGTGCTGAAGTTCCAAGGCTTATTATTATCAGGATAAACCTTTGGTAAGAGCTGTAGAGGCTGAGGCTGGCTTTGGGAGGGGTGTGAGGGGTAGGGTAAGACTCTTGAATCATGAGCATAGAGAACTGCACAGTGAAGTGGGGGCTGAAATGTCAGGGGTGACAGCTAAGCAGCGTTGGGGGCTGAGTGACTCAGCGTTCACAGCCCTCTGTTGTGGAACCAGCTGACCACCCTTCTGTTTGGGGAATTTACTCTATAAACTGGGGACAGGAGTGGGGAAGGCGAATCACTGAGGAGGCTTAAATGGCTTTTTCTATTAATGTTAACATTGGTCCCCAGAGGAGCAAGGCAAAGGGGGACCTAGAGGAAGGGAGCCTAATGAGAGGGGATTGAGGGCAGGCCCTATAGGCAGTCAGGAGTGGAAGCTGTGGAAGGGAGGGGCCGTTCCTGTGAAGAAACAGGCTTGGGCATCCAACACTCACTGAGCCCCTGTTTTGGGTCAGGCCCCATTCTAATTGCTTTACGTGGATCAGCTCATTGAATCCTTGCATGACCCTATGAGATTTATATCCATTTTTCCGATGAGGAAACAGACGTAAGAGACATAAAGAGGTTAAATAACTTGCCTAAGATCACATGGCTAAAAGTGGCAGAGCCAGGATTTGAACCCATGAAGGCTGGCTGCAGAACTCACACCCTAGGGGAATTCTCAGAGAGACCTTTTGAGCTGAGCAGGGAGAGGGGAGTAGGGTGGAGTGGGGAAGGGGGTTGTAGGGCGCTTTGTTCAAAGGGTTGCCAATGCAAAGTCCAGGCATTGTTGGAACATGCCTGGAGAACTCAGCAAAGTCAGCTGCGAACCACTGGCCAAATGCCAGACATTACTGGGATTTGGCCCAGAACACAAAGGTCACTAAGGCATGGCCCCTGTCCTCAAGATGCCCATAGTCTAGTAGGGGCATAGACATGTAAGCCGAGAATTCCAGTTGCCATGGCAAGTGCTGCGATAAAGCACTGCAGAAGGATGTGCTTTGCCACCCAGAAGAGGAGTTGGGGCAGGGAACGCTTCCTGGAGGAGGAGGCACTTGAGCAGAATGAGGATAAAAATGGCCGCGTCTCCTGAGCTTTTGGTCTGTCCATGGGATGAGCCCAGTAGCCAGTGCGTGGACATCAGAGGAGGGTCAGGTTTTCTGAATCCTGCAGCTCCCTTGCAGGGTGAGGCAGGAACCGGGAAGTGTGGTTGCCTTCCTTGACACTGTTATGGTTTTTAATAGCCAAGAATCACTATCACCTCCTGTAATGCCTGCAGTGAACATGCTGAAGAAGAAATAAAAATCTCGTAAGAGTTATTGCTCTGAACACAGTGATTCACTCCTGACTCTCCATACTTAGAACCAGAGGCAAATGGATTTGAACTGCGGAGGAAGGATGCGAGGAAGGTGTGAGAAAAGCGTTCCAGATAGGATGTGAGATGTAAGAACAAGTGACTCATAGGAGTGGAGGGGAATGGCCTCCCCTGAAGGTCTTGGGAAATGGGAACAATTTTTCTTTGTCTTTGTGGTTTAAGAGATTTCATCTGAAGACAGGAAGATGAAGTGGAGGCCCCAGAAGTCCACGTCAGCTCAGTGATAGGAGGGAGTAAGAGAAGCTGGAATTTTTGAGCTAGACCTAAAGGTTGCTCAACTCTGGCATAAGCCCTCATTTTACTGGTGAAGTGATTGAAGAATGTCCACTGAGATGGGCCTGCTCATCCAGTAATTAGACATAAACCGCATCCACAAAAAACTGTGTCTGCCCGACAGCTGGGCCTGTCACTCTGCATTGACCCTGATCAGAGGGGATCCTTACTGGGAGTGACCCACAGCCCTACATGATGGGGTCCAGGCCTTGTGAGGAGAGCTGCAGGAAACCAGGAAGCAGTTGACCGCTTGTCTGCGTATTAGAACTAGAGGAAGTGCCAGTTCCCA